TTAAGATTATGCACAGTTAGAAGAAGTTGCCGAGACACGTAACCCACAAATTATAGTCAGTCTTTAAATTTAACTGATACTGCGAACATCATCATACTCAAATACTGAGTTTTTCGAAATAAATAAAAGAAGAAGAGTTATTTTTGAAAATGAAGTTCTTGAAGTTTTCCGGAATCTTGACATTTGTACTTGCTTTACTTTATATTGCAACTACGGCAGGTGCCGACAACTGTCAGCCGTGTTTGATAAAGGAGGCGCGTAAAAATCATGCAATAAACGCAACATCACAGGAACAAAAACCAAATGAAAATTAATATTATTAACATATATACAATATTAATTTTATATTAATTGTAATTATGAAAACATATAAATAATTTATTCAAGTTTTATTTTATTAAATACATTAATTCTTTTAAAATGTTAAAATAATTAGTCTGCAAATAAAGCTATATAGTGAAAATTATTTGTTTAAAAAAAATTGTTTATAATTTTTTTTTATTTGTATATAATAAACTAGGAAAGTATGTTTAAAATTTTTTCTTTTTTTTCAGTAAAAAAAAAAATATTTTTATTTATGTGAATAATATTATTCATCAGAAATTTAATTATTAAACTTTATCACTTATATCTTTACGAAAATATTTGCTTATACTTTAAAAATAATATTAATCTTAATTTAAAATATTATTGTTCACACTGTTTTTTAATTCAATCCCATTCAATCCTTATCAATTTCATATGTATATTATGAAAAGGTATAAACCTTAATTTACACAGATAAACAGAAAAACTCAAGATGAATTAATCTGAACGTATCCGTCTATCTGTTTAACTATCTTGGTAAATTAGTTTTTAATACAATTATGGTATATATAATAGTATATAGAGAATTTGTCGGAATATCCAAAATCTGATAAATTCCGGTCCTGGTTGAAATTTAGAAAGCGATGAATGGTAATAAAACTTCATATATATGAGTATATAGAATTGTTATTAAATGGGGTCATACATCATACAAATTAATGCGTCGGATATATGCTTTAATAGTAAAATCTTTTTTTTTTGTTACAGATATATTGGATATATAGTATAACAACATAGATTTTAGATTTGATTCGATGAGGTAATTATTTTTTTTGTTGGTATTATTATTATTACAATATATTATTATATATATATACCATTGGGACTATTAACTATTTATATAATACTAAATATTATTATTATATTATGTATTATAATATTATATATTATTACTATTATATTATTACAATACATTAGTATATAGGCGATGTATGAAGGTATGGTGATTTGCTGTGGGCCTATATAATATTCATATAATACATATATTATTATATGTTATTATTATTATATTAAATAAGTATTTATTTATTATTCCTTATTTATTAAGTATTTCATTCTATTATTAAAATATATTAGTATATAGTAGCAAGAAGTTGTATAAAGGTATGGTGAATACATATAATATTACATATTATTATTATTATATTAATGGCGTAAATATTAATTTTATTTTATTATGAATATTATCAATTATGAATAAAGGCATGGTAATTTGCCTATATAAAATTTATGTAATACAGGTATTCTTTTACTTATTGTTAAACTTAATTTTATTTATTTATTTTTTAATTTTCTTTTTGTTTGAATAAACAACATTTAAATATTTGAAAACTGACGGAAATAAGAAACATATATTGAAGTGAGCAGATATTCTACCATGAGCAGATATTTTATATACAACTACATATTTCGAGAAAGAAATTCGACAACGGAAATATAAGTGGATTGGCACAAATGACGTAGTACATGCGGCACTAACCTGGAATCCGCAAGGCAAGGCAGAAGAACTAGAGGACGACCACGTAATTCATGGCGTAGAATCATAAACAATGAATCAAATAAATCGATAGGTGAACTGAGATATATCGCTCAAAATAAGCAAAATTGCAAGACTTCTATATATGGTAAACTCTTTGTGAATAGGTTAAGTTTATACAATCTAATATTATACAGAATATGGAAAATAATACATATAAGGAAGAGCCATATGTTTGTCAGTTTTCTTCTTCTTTAATATGTATACATATGTACTAATAATATTGATTAATAATTGTAATTATATATTATTATTATATAGTGTTGCAAAAAAAAGATCTAAGTAATGTTATATGGGTTTATAGAACGTGGTTATGGTATTAAAAGGGTGTAATGTCTCGTGCAGATAGAATGAACCTCATTGTTCGTGTTTTATTTTCTACTATAAATGTTTAATCAGTTTAAGTTTTGTGACTTCACATTATACATCAGTTTTTGTTATTAAATACAAATTTGTAATTTTGGTAATTCAGGTAATTTATCTATATTAATAATTAACGATACAATAAAAGTAATAAACTTATTTCCCTTTAATCTCTTCATAAAATATTTAATGGAATGATTTATTATTTTCGTTTTATTTGAATATATTACTAAGATAGATATGTTCTTTAAAAACCAACTTGAAATTACTATTATATACAACTATATGCAATAATAAGTTGCTTTATATTAAAGTAATTTAATTTCCAAGCACTTAATAATATTCTCTTCACATAAACGCTTTTACTTAAAGGTTAAAGTTTACTTTAATATTTACTATAGTATACATACATCCCCTTTTTTTTTATTTTTAATATACCTATAAAGCTCAACAAGAAATCTAAAATCCTATCTACTTACATATATTATAAACACATATTTTTAATTAAATTTCTAAAGTATATATCCACCTTATAATGTGTATCTAGGCAATGTGTTTGATGGTAAATTTGAATTTCCATCTTTGAGTTAGATAAGTATATTTAATCTCTGAGATTGTATTGCTGTTTATCAATTTGTCTACAAAACTGCATTTTGTATATTTGTATAAATATTTATTTATTTAGAGTATTGAATGTTTTTGAGATAACCTTTGATAACTTTTTTGGAATAGCTACCAATAGTTGGGACATAACTTGACAAATGTCCAGATATTTCAAAGCGACAAATACTTAAGAATTTTTCCTATTAAGATAAACCATTGCTAAAGTTCGCAAAAAAAAAATTTAGTAATACATTTTATTTTGTTGAAACACTATCAGTTAATTTTATAGTTAATTAATTAATTAATTATAGTTAATTTTTGCAAATTAATTGTATTTAGCGGTTGATGAACGATACATATTGTAAAATGGCAAATTTTAAATTAAAGATGCAATGACATGAATGTTAGTAGGCCTTTTCTTTTGTAAGCATATCGCAAAAGAACAACATAAAAAAAGCACTACTTTTGATGGCAACTCTGAAAGAACCGGAATTTTTGTTAAGTTTATGTAATAAAATTGAAAGTTAAAGTTTCATAAAAAGAATAATAAATAATTCTTTGTTATTATGAATAAGAATATTTTATTTTCTAGAAGCAACGATGTTTTTACAGAATGATGAAGCAGCGCTGGGATTTTTTGAGAGAAAAGTTCTTTGTAAAATCTTGGGTCCTCTACTATTAGAAACTGCTGCAGCTATTATTCAATCATATGTATTTGCAGAACTAAGAACATTTTATTCTAGAGAAGTTAATTAATGTCAACTCATTTAAATCAATAGTTTACTAAATAGAGTTAATAAACTATAGACCTTGACCTTTAATAGGAGCAATTAATGCAATAACAATTGTTTAAGATATTATTAAATGATTTCTTCAATATAATATATCTTTATTTTTTTTAGAAAATATTATTATTATTATTAATGAACTACGAACTGTACAAGCTTTAACACGACGTTGATAGAATTCAGCGACTTCGCTAGCTTGGGCATGTCGTAAGAATGGATGAAGATGCTTCAACGAAAAAGATGTTTGCAAGAAGATAGTTAGAGGAATAAGGCATAAAGGTAGACCGCATCTCCGGTGGAATGTTCAAGTTGAGGGAGCGCTAATCGGACTTGATATCCGGAGAGATTGCAGAAGGCGCACACGCAGTTACTGGTTGTTGTGGCCAATAAGTAAGTAAGTGAATAAAATTTGTATTTTTAGGCTTTTTTAAGAATTAGAAAGAATTTTTTAATTTTAGTAAATTAAAAAGAATTGAATATTATTTGTCAAATATTTGTTTACAGTTAAATGAAAATTTTTCTGCGTACTTCCAAAAATCGTTTACAATAGACGAAAGCGATTTGAGTTGCTTATTAGTTAAGTGGTTTCAAAAAAGTTGGACTAAATATGCCAGTAGTGTTGTTGTTGTTTCATATGGTTTTTTTATAATAAGCGATTGTTCTTTTGTGTTATGTTTACAAAAGAATAGACCTAGTTTTAGCTAATATGTGTAAGTGAAATATTTCTCTCTAATTATAACTAAAAAATGGTTGAATTTTATTAATGTTTATTAAATATTTGCCGGGTGTATTGCTCTACTATTCTATACGTTATAGGTAAGATGTGTAGATATATTAATCTTAAAATAATCTGTAGTAAGTATACTGCGAAACTAATTTGTATTTTTCTTGGTTTATTAAGACTTGTCACTTTTATGTAAATATTCTGTTTTATATTTTACATTAAATTATACATTATATTATGGGGTTCGACATGGCAACGCCAGATACAAAACACTGCCTCTTAAACCAATTTATATGCAAATGGCATATTTAAGTGCTTTTATATGTATTTTTGCTCATTCAGAAAATACGAGTAGCAAAAGTGAAATAATTAAAATAAATTTAAATTTCGCGATCACAAAAAATTAAAAAACACAAACAAAACTTTGTTAAAAAGAGCAAATAAACAAATTTATATATATTGTATATATACAATAGCTATAATATATATAACCGACTGCATGTTTGTTTGTTTATTTGAAAGTAAACAAAATTAAACTAAAGTGGCTTTATGTCTCATATATTTTTTGTTTTTTTTTCTCACTTGTGTATTGTTTTTGTGTTATGTTCTGCCGCTTAATGTACTGGAACTCAAGCAGGCAGATAATTACTACTTGTCTACTGATATTTATTTCAGTTCATCTTCAGCCTGCACTGGGTAAAATACTCGTTCGTACTCAATTAATTGAAGTGCAATCTAAAATTTGAAAAATAATATATTTGTGTTTTTTTTTTGGTAATTTCAAGAAATAATCAAACGATTCGTAGTTCAAAACCTTAAAGGGAATAATCGAGACAAGATGAAGTATTTCGCATTCTGCACTGTATTCTTGCTTATCGTAGCCGTGTTTATATTGGATGCTGATGCCTCTTACTGTCCCTGTGACTTATCACAGAAAGGACAATCAAAGGTATGTGGTTCAAATGGTGTGACTTATGCCAATCGCTGTGAGTTCGAGTGTGCACAAAAGGAATACACAGTGTTGAAACGCAAACTCAACATCGCTAAAATGGGTCAATGCTGAAATGAGCCGTAAAAAAGCTCTTAATAAAAACCAAAAAAAAAAAAAAATTGTATATTAGTTTAAAATTTTTTACACGAAAAATCTATGAATATAATAGTTTTCGTTTAAGATTTTTATTTTTATATGTCTTCATTTTTCCAATAAAAAATAAATTCCAAAAAAATTTTTAAAAAATATTTTAATATCTTTTTAATTGCTTGTTAAACTGCTTTCTGGTTCTATCTTTTCTTAAAGCATGTTATCATAGTACTTTGCTAGTACACTTATAAAAATATGCTCTAACCATATACTAGTTAAATGGAACCGATAATTTGGTTAGTAAAATTATAGCTCATGTGTTAAAAAAGATATCAACAACAACATGTGGTATGGTTGAAGCAATATAATGTGTCGAGTAAGATTATTTTGACCTGAGATTTAGTTAAAATCTGATAAAAAGGTTTCTTCGAACAGTAGTGAACTACAACAACAAAAATTCATTTCGTATTATTTTAATTAATTGAATTTTTGGCTGACTAATAATAATCATCAGTGGTTTTGGAAATAATTCTTGTATTTCATTATTTGTAAAAGTTTTTGAGACTGCAAGTAACAGAAATCTATTTAAATCAATCAAATTATTTTTCTGAGTGTATGTTCAAATCTTATCTTCTATGGACATCTTTACTTTGTGTAGTACGAGTATATATCAAAATTTACATAATATAACTGATATGCAAAATTTTCAATGTGAGTCACTCATACTTAGTTGTTGGTTTTAGCTATTGACTTCATTATGATTCAGTTTTGTGTTAATTTTTTAGTAATTTGAATACAAGTCATGACTGCTAGAAATCCATAACAAAATTGTATTTAATTTAAAAAATTTGAATTTTTATTAAAATTGTTTTTTTTTATTATTATTTTCAATTTATTTTGCAATAATTATATCAACAACATATATATATATAGTTTTTTTTAGTTAATAAATCAATATGTATTGACTGATTTTTATTTCATAAATAAGTTATGCATTATATATATATATATATATATATAATATATATATGATATATAAATGATTAGAAAAAAATGCAATAAATTGACAAAATATTTATACTTTATTCACAAACTAGTGATGTCAACAACTTTAATTAAATTTATTTGATATTTTAAATTGCATTTATTTGGATCTTCGTAATGTTTTTTTTTGTTAATAACAAAATGAAATATAAACTAAAAATATTGCTGAAAACTTTTAGTAAAGTATTGCTTTATATATAACAACAACAATGAAAAAGTATCTAATTTCTTAACGCAACATAAAAATCGAATATAACACAGTTTACAAAAGAAGTACTTTAACTCTAATTGCATTCTTAAAATCTGTTTTCTAGAATTATAAATTTACAAAAAACGTCTTAAAGTTTCTAATTTTTAAAGATTATTAAATTATTATGTATTATAATAAGAAACGTTCATACGAAACGATAATTAAGAATGCTCGCATTTGAAGTGATTGAATAAATGCTATTAATTGTATTATTAAGATAATAAATAAATCTTATATACATAAAGTATAAAGTCTATGGTTCATATTCAATATCAATCAGTAAAAGTTATTTAAAAAGTGTTAAGTAATATACATAACAAAAATGGAAAAAAAGAAATAGGAATTATCACATAAAGCACGAAACATCACTAGATAAGAACAAGCACAACAATATAGTTTGAATTATACTGCGATTTTGCTTACTCGTCTATCGGAATCTGTGAATCTAAATTGTGGCAACTAAAACAATCTGAACCCTGAGCTAAAATTTTCCAAAATAAAAAACTTGAATTTAAACAAGAAATGATTGCTGAAATTGAAGGTTCTAGACCTTCAGTCTAGAAACTGTAGACACCTTAGGACTATGTTATGCAGATGGTCATGGTAATATTAAATGTATAATTATTATTGTTATTATTTCTTAGTAAATTGAAAATTTAGGAATAATAGCAAGAGGAAATTAAATTTTTGTTGAAAAAAAAATTAAATTAAATTAAAATAAAATAAATAAAACTCAATTTAATTTTGGTCACGGTGAAGAAACTTTCACTGCCTTGATCACTTTGTTAGTCAGTAATTTATGTCAGAATATTAGTCTTTAAGTATCAAATATGTATAAAATATTATCTTTTAATATTAGACATATATTACCAAAGAGTATCGAAATAATACTAATAGTACGAAATTGACAATTGTGATTTGACCGTTTGCATAACATACATTAATAATCATTAGCAGAATAAGCATAAAACTACAATAACCACTCCTTATATCAGTCTTTGTATAACATGACATCTAGATCTCTTTCTCCTATGATCACTCATAAATATTAAGTAAAATTAAAAATATAAAAAGTAGCTTACATGTACTAAGTACGGCTAAGTGAGTTTACACACTCTGAGATTTTTTGAAATTTTAAATTAGATAAATAGCAATAACGAAGCAAATTATGAAATTGTAGAATACAGCTCCCTAATTAAAATTTCATAATTTGCATCGTTATTGCTATTTAAATAACTTTTTTTATGTTTTCAGATGCATTAAATTAAACCAATTGAGAATCATATTTATTTTATATACAGTAATAAAAGTCAGTCAAAAGTTATTAATATTTTGAGAGTAACATAAGTGGAATAAATAAACCATTTATGTTATTTACCCAAGTTTAATGGAATATTTAATTCTATCAAACTTGGATATATGCAGATAATAGCTTATAGAATGTCAGTAGCTTGAGATGAAACAGATTAAACCATTTGAGAATTATATTTCTTATACAATATATATATTATATATTATATATATATAATATATAATATAATATATTTTTTATATGCAATAATGTAATTTATTTTCAATATTAATATTATTAGTTTTGATGTAATTTTTTTTTAACCTATTAGTAAAAAAAAAAATAATCTATAATTTAATTATATGTTTATATTTTTAACAAAATATTTCTATTAAATACAAAGTTTGTTCTTAGTAGTATATATTAAATATGTAGTTTAAGACAAATAAGCTGATATTAATTGATTAAATAGTTCACGTAAACATTTGTAGTATTAATTTTAATTAAGCTATTCTTATATTTATATATCTTATAAAAATATAATGTGTATTATTTACAAATATACATTTTTATTCAGTTAAAAAAACTATATCAGAAATAATTCTGAAGTATTAGCGTAATAACTAATAGATTTTAATGTTAGTATATTTCTTTAGGTATTCTGGCTATATGACAATTTAGAAGAAAGAAAATTTTAATTATTAAGAAACTGTATCGAAACATCTTACTTAGTAAATGAAACCTTCTATGAAGTCACCTTTATTTGAAATTGATATATGTATGCATGCTAAGTCATAAGTCGACCGCCTTAGAAAAGCCTTAGTCAATTTATATACAGTTCTAAATTTATATTTCCATGCAATTAATATTTATATATAGGTATAATATATATATATATATAAATATAAAAATATATATATTTATATCTGTAAGTATTCATATTGTAAAACCTATATTGCGTCTTCAAATGTTTTTTAAATATATATTTATATATATTTAAATAATGTTATATATGTAATTTATATATATATATATTTGTTTTTATTTTTTCATTGTTACTTTTTAAGATTATTTTAATTTAAGATCTTATCTCAATTTAAAATTAGTCACTGTTTTCTTATTAGACACCGTATAAATAACAGCTATTTAAAGTGAGATTAAAAAAAGCAGGCAATTAAGTATTTTGTATTGACCTGTATAAAACATCCACCTAACTATGTCCTTCACAGAATTGCCCGGAAAATTAACCAATGGATTTATTTGGATTCAATTCAAAAAGATGGAGAGAGTCTGCAAACTACAATTAAAATATATTGTTACATATATATTAAATGTAGTGATTAAAGACAATCTTCTAAGGTTATCACAACAGATCTTGTAAGTTGAATTGTTGTCTTGTTACTTACATATATAATAAATATATGTTTATATTTTTATATATAATATAATAAAAAAAATATTTTGATTTTAAACTAATGAACAGTAAAAGATAAGGTATTATATTGCAAGGATTAAATGTGTAAAGAATCTCATTTGAAAAGTTTAATAAGTTTTGAAATCAAAATGTCATTACTATCCATTACAGAACAATATTATTGTTCAGATATTAATAAGATTACAGCATCTGTAATCATATAACATTATCATTTTCATATTGAAAAGCTTGAACAGCAGATGTCAAACAATGTTCCTGATGTTGTTTTTCTTGAGCGACGGGTTCTTTTCTCATTAAACCCATTAAATATATTAGAAATATCTGTTTATGATTTGAACTTCTTTGCATTAGTATTTTAATCATTTTTCAAGTACGTCATTAAATTGCATTGCGTCATTATTATTTAGTTTTTGTTAAATGTTGGTGTCTCAAGTAATATATACAAAAGTTTGATAAAAATTCTTCCATTAATATTGTGTATATAAGATTTTTAATTTTTTTTTTAAATAAAACTTAATCTTCAGCTTTAAAGAAAATATAAATATCATAGTCATATCTATAAATATAAAGTAAGAAAATATAGGCTTAAGTGCAGATTAAGTTTTAAGTGATGATCAAAATACATTTTTCTAGGAATGTGAAAAGATATTTATTAAGTAATAAATTAAATTTAATGTTATATAGATATAATGTGTTATCAAATTTCAAATAAAATTATTAATAAGCAGAAGAATATAATACAACAAAATATGTGAATATTATTCTCTTCCGTGCTTTCCAAAAAAGTGTAAGCGTTTAGGCTCATATATATTTTTTTAAGATATTATATTAATCACATTGTTCTGAGTCTAATACGCAAATCTTGAAGGCAATACTAACATAATTAGTTTGAATAAATTATGTTATTGAAACAATTAATTATTAAAAACGTAATATCTGCATAACACGACTCTTATTGGCTCAGTAGAAGTCATGTTGTAGGATAGATATTAGTTTTGTCATAATAATATACTTCATATACTAATGCTTACTTTGTGCAGATTAAAGATTAATTTTTTTATCTCATTTATTAATTCTCTAATAGTACGTACAAATCCCAATCATTTCCTTTCATTTTTATTTTCACTCAAATAAAATC